TGTACTTGTGAAATGTGTGCCTCTGTCTGTAAGAAGCTCCTTGAACAGGCCGTGGACTAGAACGACGTTTTCAACGATGAAGGCGGCGGTAGTGGCAGCGTCCGCGTGGCGGACGGCTTTCGCCACTACATATTTTGTGAATGGGCATATTGCGAGTAGGATATATTTTTTTCGATTTTTACTGAGAACAAATGGACCGTAATCCATATGTAGACAGATAAATGGACCAGAAACTTTTAGAGGTTGTAAGAAACCTCCCGGTTTGAAAGGTGGATCTTTCCGTCGTTGACACTGATCACAGGAAGAAACGTACCTGGCAACCGCCTCGGATGCGCCAGGGTAGTAGTAGCGATCACGAATTCGGCCATAGGTACGAGTGATACCTAAATGGCCGGCAAGGATGGCATCGTGCGCCTCGCGCAAGACATCTTGCCATACTGATTTTGGAACGACCAATAACACTTCCGGCCTACCGTCACGTGTGACCTTTCGATACAAAATGTCTTGAATTAACGTGTAAAATAAAATTCGATTCTTATGTTTTTTGTCATCGTTGTTTTTCAAGGAAGCGATAATAGGTTTGCAGAAAGCGTCGTCTTTCTGCAGTCTTGATATGTCGATTTTGGACGCGAAAAAGAGAGGTGCGGCAAAACCGCAGTTAACCGGTTCGGCAGTTGACTGGATAGGAAACCTCGATAATGTATCAGCTAATACGTTTTGCGCGCCAGGGCGATAAACCACTTCGAAATCATAGGGCTGCAACCTGAGTATCCACCGGAATAACCGGTCCGGTGGGTTTTTCGCTGTTAAGAGAGATTTAAGTGCAGCGTGGTCTGTCACAATTTTAAATCGAAACCCTGGGAGGATGTAAAATTTAAATTTTTGAACTGCAAAAATTATTGCGTAAAACTCTGGCTGCGTTGCGGCATATCGGCGCTGCGTTGCAGATAGAGTTTTGGAAGCGTATGCAATATGTTTTTCTTCACCATCTCGAACCTGAATCAGTACGGCGCCGACTCCGACTTGAGAGGCGTCTGTATGCATTTCGATAGGTACCAATGGATCAAAGTGTGACAGAATTGGTGCATTAATAAGCGCAGATTTTAATTGTTGAAAAGAATGTTCTTGTTTATCTGACCAGGTGAAACGCGCATATTTTTTTGTTAGAACAGTTAATTCTTCTGCGAGGTCAGCAAAGTTGGGAATAAATCTGCGGAAATAATTCAAAAATCCCAAAAATGAGCGTAAAGACTTAACATTATTGGGCGGGGTCATGTTCTTTACTGCGTCGATCTTTGCCGCATCGACAGATAAACCATCGGCTGTCACAGTGTGTCCGAGAAATTTATTCTGAGATTGGCCGAAAAAGCATTTCTGAGGTTTTAACATGAGTCCAGCCTCTCGAAGGCGTTGAAATATTAAGGACAAATGCCGTAAATGCTCGTCGAAACTTTTGGAAAAAACGAAAAAGTCGTCGATGGAGAATTAATAGAAAGAGTAAGAGAAAATCCCCTAACAGTTTATCGACCAGGCGGCAGAAGGTGGCTGGTGCATTGCACAGCCCGAAAGCCATCCTATCGAATTGGAATAAACCACCGGGAAAGCCAGGCGACGGGGGAACAATCAACGCGGTCTTATGTCTATCCTGAATAGCGATAGGAATGTTATGATAGCCCGAAAAACAGTCAAGCGAAGAGAATATTTTCGCGCCATTCAGTGAGTCCAACATTGTATCGATATTAGGCATTGGGTATTTAACTTTCACCGTAACGCTGTTAAGTGGCCGTTCGTCAACTACCATGCGCTGTGATTTATCGGATTTAGAAACTAAATGGACGTTCGCACACCAGTCGCTGTCAGCAGGCGTGATGACACCGAGTGCCAGCAGCTCGCGCACTTGGCGTGCAATTTCTGCTGCCTGTGCCGGGCTGAAGCGACGCAGCTGTTGCTTAATGGGGCGAGCAGTGCCAGTATCTATTCTGTGTTCAATCATGGTCACCAGACCAAGTTTACGATCGGGGAAGGGAAATAATTCGGGAAACGATTTAATTAATGCACTGACTTAAGTACGCTTTTGTGAAGTGAGGTCAGGGTTAATGTGCACTTTCTCCCAAAATTTATTATCGCTGGCTTCTGGCAAATCGTATTTTTCGATTCGGTTAGTGGATGGGAGAAATACATTTCCGTTTCACACGGAACATAATGGTCGAGTGATCGAAATAAAATGCTGTCGTTACGATTAATGTGGTCGTTGGCGTGGTAAACAGCGGCTGGGTCAGAACAGAAACTGACTTAATTAATGACATTAAAATGGTGATCGTTAGCTAAATTATCTTGTTTGGATGTTATTTCGGAAATTGAACTTGACCCAGATACGGATGATAAATTCTTATTACTTTGTTGTGGTGCTGCGGTTAGCTGATCGTGAGTAGTAAGGCAGTAAGGATAGCAGCATTGCCAAGAAATTGCGGCAGTCTGGCTGCTTCTCTGATTGGCTGCTCACGAATGAGCCCCGAGACAGGGCTGCTGATCTGGCTGCTACCGGCTAGCGGTGGCTTACTGACTGGGCTGCTCTGGCTAGCGGTGTCCCGATGGCTGGCGCCGACCTAGTGACCTACTGTCTGCTTTTGTCTGACTACGTAGTGAAGGTCTCCCTGCCGGTCATAATTAAAAAGACAACCTACTGTAATTCGCTGATCTTTTTATTTTTTTAACTGGCACAATTTGCGGAACACAGGCACAACACGCGCTTCACAAAATACAGGCCGCATTCACATAATAAACAATGGCCGCTGTTTATACAGCTGTCGTCGCTTGTAGCGCTGCTGGTCGGCGTCGTCGTTCTCTCGCGGTCGCTTCTGGCGGGACTCATGCCGGATATAACTATTATATCCCTTCTTCCCGGTGGTGTCCTCCTGGTCGGTGTCCTGGTCGGTGTCGTCGGAAAGGTCAGACACCAAATCGTCGGTACCATCTGGTTCGGATAACGAATCGGAAACATCCGATTCGCTTTCCGAATCATCCGGTTTGTCAGTGCGCTCCGTAAAACCGATCGAAAGCCGCCCCGCCGATCTCTAAGAGTTAACGATATGTGCACATCCTGTATAGATTTTTCACACGAATGGCTATGATTGTACTAATCAGTGAGCCATTCGTGTGAGAAATGGTAATATACAGGATGTGCACGTACGGCCACATCGTTAACTGTCGAAGCTAAGCGGGCGGCTTCCGGATCTCCAATATGGGTTTTAACCGCAATCGGAGGGCTTCCGCGCCTTCTTTAAAGGCGATACCTGCGCACTTGCACGTCAATCGGTGAAATCCGCCACTGGCGGGCCATAAACTCCACGTCCCTAAAACACCTTAGGTTTTAAAACATAAACCAGCTTCACTGGTTATAAAATGTTTTAAAATTACATAATGTTATCTGAGGGAAAACCGCTATTTCAAAAATAAAATTAATTTAATAAAAATAGTAATAAATATAAACTCTCCACGAATGACTTTTTGAGATGGCATTTTTTGGAATAACGAAGGGAAAAAACTCAAAAAAAAATTGCAAGATGAATCTCTAAGCGTATACGGTTTAGCAAACCAACCAGCAGAAGTTCTAACAAAATGTGACGGTATCTGATGCCAAAATTTGCTCTTTTTATACTAAGTGAAGAGGACGTACACCCATTTGATGAAAAATATCTGGGGCCCATGTCCTGTACTGTGTATTAAACTAGGTTAGAATACGGCGCGAAGAGTAGTAACGGGGTTCACCCTGTGCACATACTGAATCGGTAGAGTGATCACGTACACATACGAAATCGGTAAAGTGAATCCGTTACTGAGCGGGAGCAAGTTCTACCACCACGTTACCAAAATTCAGACGGACTGTTACTCGGTGTACTGGGCCGATACTCTCAACCACACCAACAGGAATACTGAGTTTCCTGCTAGTGAGTTGCAAGGATCGGGCTTTCGTAGCCTCTTTTGCAATAACAACCACAATTGTGAACAACACAACATACCGCTTATGAATAGAAAAAAAAAGTAGTTTATTCAGTAACAAACAGCCAAACAACCCGGGTTATAACAGTTGGTGTTCTGGTTATAAAAATTGTACCGAAGATCAAACAGCTTATTGTTTAGTACCGAAAGGTAGTGTCGTAAAGTCGGGAAGCAGCATGCGTTTGTCGTAAACCATTTTCAGCTTCTTGAACAAGCGAACCGTGTTGATTTCTTGGGTCTTGCCATTGCGTTTAATGTATTCAGGATAGATGATCTGAACATGGGATTCCGTCCCGTCCAAAAGGCGCTTCAGTTTTTCAAAGTCCAAGGCCTGTCCAGTCCTGGCAAAGGATTTCGTGACCTCATCAAAGTCCAAGATGTCCTCCGTGTACCCGTTTTGTGTAAGGCCTTTTGCCTACAAATAGTAAGATGTCCTGCATACACTGTAATTACTGTGCATACTGTATAGTATGTGTATACTGTACATACAACTTGGGCATACCTTTAGCTCGATCCGGCCAGTGTCAGTCTCGTAGCTGTACACCTTGAGGCCGCAGGACACGAACTTCATAATGTGACTCTCGCCGGCCTGCAGTTGGTTGTCCCAGTCGCCTAGGATACTACCGGTTTCCGGCACCCAGTCCCCGGGGCGGGTGAGGAAGACAACGGAATCGGTATCATAGTACATCAGCCGGTCACCCAGCCTCTCCATCATGTCCAGCAGGATAAGGCGTGCATTGGCAGTAGTGAACGCAACCAAGGCGACGTTTGTAGCGTTACTTCCTTCATTGTAGTCTTCTCCCTTAGAGTAGGTCACCATGAGGCAGTCCTCGTTGACGGCAAACACATCATGAATTTCAACGGTCTTGGAGCGGATCATGTCCAAATAGTCCTTGGTTTTGTAGACGAATTTGGTCATAGTCATATCGTCCCGCTGTCCTTGCTTGCCCCATAGGTATTTTAGGCAGTTCTTGGCCACATTACGGCGCCAGCATCGTAGATCATGGCTTCCGGATCAAGGTCGATCCCTCACGTTCTTTGACTTGGCGGATAAAGTCATCTTTCTGTTGGTTAGTTTTACACCAGCTAGGCCACCCGCTGGCCTCCATCTTGATTTTCAGAAACTTGTTGATGTACGCAGCATAAACGCCGGCTTCCAAGGTGTCCCAGTGCCATACCTCGTACACTTCCTGCACGGTGTATCCCCGGTCGATAGCGTGGTGGAGCTCCGGGGTGGTCCACACACCTTCGATGCAGCGGTCAGCGTCGCTATGCCGGCAATAGTCGTTGTACTTAGTGTCCGCACACGTACGGCAAAGCGCAAATACCAACTTCTTGTTGATAGTAGCAGGAAGAACAGGGTACAAACACTGCGGTGGTGGTAGTATCTTGCACGACACCAAGCCATAATACTCTTTCACGTCCTTGAAATCCGACAATATAATTGTTGGGTGGCCGATAGGGTACGTCTTGGTCTTGTTGACGAAAGGGTATAAGCTGACAACGTCGAAGTGCATAATCATTTCCCCCGGCTTCACTGCGTAGTATAAGCGACTGGCATTAGTACGACCACCTTTAAAGGCGTCCCGGGGATTCAGGGGCTCGCGGAGGTTTTGGCCAGACAAGAAAGTAGCGATGTCCGTATCCTTTCGCTCCCTTTTCCATTCACACTCCCACTTGGTAACTACTGTATACTTCTCATCTTCCAGGTAGCGTACACGGTCCAAGTATTCCTCGTACACTTCACTCATCTTTTTACGAGAGAAAGGGGATCGATCTTCTTCTTCGGTACATTCGGGATGTCCGTGGAATACACAACCGTTATATTCGTACACTGTACGAGTTGCGGCATCATAGCCGTCCACGTAATACGGGCCAATGTGCACTTCCTTGCCATTCCGACCATGCTGAATACGCCCACCCAAGTCACGGTTCAACATTTCTAACCACTGAGTTGCTTGAACACTGGTACGTCGGTTCCGGTGAGGTCCATGGGAGGACAATACAGCTAGTTTCTCAGGTTCCAAATGAAAGGTACGGTAGTAACGGTTGCAGGCAGATGACATGGTGATACTATCCAGCGGGTTTAGATTAGTCAGAGCGACAAAATCATCAACGAACTTCAGGGCACAACGCCGGAGCACGGTGACGTCATTCGAGCAGTAGGCCATGATTTCCGCACGGAAGTCGAACTGCCACCCGCAGGCTTTTGCTTCAGCGTACCACTTTAGAAACTCCTCTTTATCTTTCTTTTTCAGACCGTCAAAAACGTACATTTCCGGTTCGGGCCACGGCAGTACCTTATCCCAGTTTTCAGGTCGATTGAAGTGGTGAGGGAAGTCGCCTTTCTTGACCTCCACTTCTAAACCAACCGCTTTCGGTAAACTGCTGAGTTTCATAGGCATAAAATTTAACGTGTCACGGGAACACATATTCAAGGACCGATAACGCAGTTCCAACAGCTGAGTGCCCCTCTTAATAACTTCCACACCACGCAGCTTATTATCCAAAAGGTGTTTCAAAGGAAATGACCGTCATATCCCCGGAAGTTGTGAGCAATAATCGTAGTGATTGTGTTTCTCCGAAAATAGCCATTCACAAAACTGCTGGGCAACATCTCTTGTCATTGGTTGACCGTCCGCCGGAAATCGAAACTCCGTGCCGTCTTCGTACTGGGCCACTACACATCTCGGTGTATGTCCATTAATTGGATCATTAAATGTCTCGTAATCAAAGAAAATGTATCGCTTTGGTCGCTCTGGTTGATCCGTTGAGGGTGGTAAAGGCTTTGGAAAAGTCTTGATATAACACTTATGTGTGGCTTGAGAAGTCCATTCGCGGCAGACCGTGCAAAACATCTCCCCACACTGGTGCTTTTCATTTGGTCGACGTGTTAAGTTTACAAAGCGTCGGCAGTCTCTACAGTAAAAGATCTGGGAACAAAAGGTTTTCACATTGCGGCGAACAGCTCTGTGAACGTTGAAACATTCTTGGTTGTTGAATGTACGACGACAATCACCACAGTGAACAACGGACCCTTGACGCAGTCACTAGCTGCCCGATAACACAACCGACAGTTTCCATGCATCGATGCCGCTCCTTGTGACTGTAGTACATCGCACTCGGAGCAAAAGTATGACGAGTTAAAATACCGGTGGCAGTGGTTACGAGGTCAAAGTGGTTCTTCTCCAACAAGACAAAGATCTCCAGCATGTTCTTTGTTTTCTCTGGTACACGAGCAATATAGTATTACCGTGATCCGCCGAGATCACCTTTACTTGAAATTCGGGAAAGCACTCGTGTTGTAAAGAGGACAGGTCATTGAGGTCATAGCACCGTCCTAATGGTAAATCAGCTAACTGAATAATCTCTCTGGCGTGGCTGGTCAATTTGTTGATCCCCTTCACTGTACAGATGTTTCCACTGGCTTTTGTACGCTCCTGAACATCGTGCGTCAAACGGTACTTGCCCAAGTACAATGCGGCGGGTAAACAGTAGTTGTTAGGCACACGAACTGTAACAATGGACTTGCTGAAACGCTTAGCATCGCGTGCCACGTGACGGTGTATGCACTTCCAGTTCCCTCCACTTGGCATGATGGTGCGAAAAATGCGGATTGAGAAGGTATCGTCCAGCACCATCCGCCCGGAGTACAGTTGGCCTTGGTACAGACAGCAACAAGGTCATCGACACTGAAGTCCGACAATTTCCGCATCGACAAGTAAATTGGAAATTCTAGCGATGCACAGCCAATGGAAATGGTAACACGGTCAGATGGTTGAAACTGAGCCACGCAGAGATTCAATATGGATTCCAGCAGTAAAGGCAGAAGCAAGACAGTTTCTTCCTGGGAATAAATACGCGGCAGGGCGGCGATCTCCACACGGTACTCGTACTCGGTGCTGTTGAATTTCTTGAACTTGCGCTCTTTGTTCTTAGTCAGGCTGAATAGGGCTGAGAAATCCGGAATATCACTGATTTCTTCCAGTGCCTACAGATATATAATATGTACTACAAGAAGAATGGCTTATTAATTACAAAAACAATTAAGTGACCTGCATTTTGCGTAAATTTTCTTATAATTGTTGTACAAAATCGACTTGTTTGTTTTGCGAAAACAACCAATTGTAAAAAAAAGTTAACTTTTCGGCTTTATTGAGAAAATGTCGGTCTCATTTTAATGTTTTGTTAGCTTACCAGTGGCTTTCCCGAAACTGCATCTGGAATATCAATGTCCATGGCACCATCCGTCGCTTTCCCCGCACCTCCCTGATCAGCGCTCCTTACCACCTAGATCGTTGGAATTTGGTAAGTTCTCAGTATGTTGTGTTATTCCAGTAATGTTTTAACTAGGACAAATGTCTATACACAAGTTGATGCACATCAAAACAACTTTTATTTTAATTAGGCCAAAAGACTGACTCGGCTATTGTTCTAAGTAGGTCAAAAGACTGACTGGCATCGATGATTACTGTTATCAATAGATGAATCAGTATTCTTAGTGTCCGTCACAACAGAATATACTATTCTGGAAAGGCTAGTGGCGTATAAAGCGAAAGGCTGCTGTTTAATAAAAACAATAGTTCTATAGTTTAATTATTTACCAGGACGCAGTGTATGAGCCTACTGATATTTATATATGATATTTTTGTTATAAACTTTTTTTTTGCATTTGTTATCAGCAAATGCTTGTTCCAAGTGGAAAAAAGTAAATCATTATCGAGTTTGCAAATGACTTAAATAAATTAACTATCTTAAATATTTAGCAATCTACAATCTACCAGAAGGTTTTGATTCAGCAAATACTTGTTCAAGTGAAAACGATATTATCGAATTTGATCTTAAATATTTAGCAAGTTTCAGACCGCCAATATTCTAAATGGATCTCGATCGAAGATTATAATTTTATTCGAAGTCTTTATCGCATAAACAACCGCTGACTGGTGGTAAAAAAATGGTTTCCTCTGGTTTTATTTGTTAAAAATAGTTACTTTGTAATAGAGTTATTAAAATTTATAGTAGTTATCAGGTACGATCGTTTCAAGAAGAAATCCAAATAAGTCTGTATTGAAATTTAAGCTGTTCTTATCTACAAAGGTCACTCACCCAATCGTCCCAATCACAAGCCGCGAGTATGGCATCGGTATCCTGACGATCCGCATCGGTGATAACGTACGGTGGCGATGGCGGAAGATTCCATGACCCTTCGTCGAAAATAGCATCAATGTCCATACGATCAACATCCGTGAGCTGGTAATCGTCCATGATGAGCGTCCAAAAATAAGCTTCAACTGCAAGTCAGCCAGAGCGACGCACGGCTTTTAAAAAATTTTGATCGCCAGCGGTGTTGGCTATTGACCTAGTTTGTGTCTGGTCTCATTCAGCTGGACTGGCGATTGACCTAGTTTGTGTCTAGTCTCATTCAGTAGGACTAGCGATTGGCATAGTTTCTGTCAGGTCTCATGTATTGAAACTGGTGATAACCGCCTACCATTCACGGCTATTGGTCGTCACACGTGTTTGAACATGCGCATGGCAACGCATCTTACCCCCTTTCTTTTGTTAATTTTTCCCCACCCCTTTCTTTTTTTTTGGTTGTTTTATAGCATTGAGTTTAGAACATACAGCATTTAACAAATAAAAATTATATTCCACTCCCAAACACGAGCCCGACAAATAGGACAGTAATACATACGCGTAGAACACGTCTCGCAACAGGCTGCGTGACCACAAGGTTGAAAAGAACATTTTATATCAGCATTCAAACAAATAGCACACTGCGGTTTTTGTGAAGGCTCTTTACGCTCAGCGTAGACGGCAGCCGCCGCGGTGGCCACTAGCTCCGATTTGGCAACGGCTTTTGCAATGATTTCCTCCGCATATTGTAATCCTTTTTCCTGTTTCACGAAGCTGCAGTTGTACAGCTCGACACCATGACGCACGTGTTCCTCCCATGGGAATATCCTCCACTTGCCAGTTTTCCAGATAAATGTTACAAGAAAAACACTGGACCCGATCCTTTGGTCCAGTAAAAAAGAATCCCGCTTCGGCCATTTCTCGAGGGTGTTGTTTATATGTCCAGTTGTAAAATGTAGCGAATCTCGCTTTAACATCAGCCATTGGGGAGTGTAACAAAGATCCAACTCTGGGACAATCGGTTGCTTCCATGTCGTGTCGCAGGACAAGGTTTTCATCCCCTTCCCAGTCATGCGCAGTCCACGCACAATATGCACAACCGACTTCGTCGGGAAACTGCTTAAAAAACAGACCGGCTAGTACCAGTCTGGATGGAGCCGTCAAAGGCCATGGCCAACTGACAAAAGACCGAACACGGTTTTCAACAATTGTCATATCTGGTCGCGCCATTTTGAACGAATGAAGTTCATTACACGCTTCGCGAACGTTATATATTGTTGGTATCGCCAGTTGGTACTGGCGATGAGCCATCACTCAGCATTACGTCTAGTATATCTTTTGTCAGCTGGTTGGATTCCGTTATGCGGGTTACGTTGGGTTTAGCGAAGTGGCCACATATTTCTAAAATATTAAAAATCAGTAATAAAATGGTGATGAGAATTCCAAAAATAATAGAAATTATCTCTTTGATTGTAGGTTTATCCATGATTTATTAGTGATTTAATGAATTCGTTGTCTCTTAGTTTTGTGCTCATACGGAAGAATTTATTGATAAATTTGCATACGAATTTATCATTCACTCCTTTATGATTGGTGAATGCCGACATCAGATCCTTATACGAAAAACCGTAGCATCGCAATAATACATAAAACATACAGTACTGACCGCATACGGTGCTGTCGGTGTTTTGTCTTGTAGTATTGGACATAATGACGTAATCATCTCCCATCCATTCTGTAATATTCGACGAATATTCCGCAGGATTACGGCCATAGGAATCAAACGCTTCTAACATGTTTTGACGAACGCAGAAGAAGGCCACCCAGTGCTCACCGGGACTCCCCGTTTTTTGTGTGTTTACGATATATGCACCGGGGTATTGTTTTTCTGGTATATTATCACTAGAAAAAACACCAACAAAAATATCGCGAATTTTGGGATCTGAAAAAAGGGATTTTTCGATTTCTAAATTATTCATGGCGCAAAATCAAAAAGTACTTGTCTATTATTGTTTATTTCAATAATATTATCGTATACTAGCATGGCGATACATACAGCTGCCTCTGGTAATGGTTTGGCAAAACGCATGCTCATATTTAAATTACCTTGCCGAATGAGCGATAAAGCACCACGTCCTGTGTGTCCTCTCGTAAAATCAAAGCCATAAATACAAAATCCACCTAAATTATAATCAGATCTGCCAAAGGGTAGCTCTCCAAAACCTTCGTGAAGGCGCTCCAATGTATCAAAAAGTCCTTCGTACGGCTCCAAACTAGCCCCGTTTTCGAAATCCATATTATATCCCCGAGTTGGAAATATGTGCCCGTCTATTTCTGCATGCAAGTAAGCCAAACTGAAATGATTAAAAGCATACGGCGTCGAAGTATATTCCCCATTGAATGCCCTACTCGGTACCATAGCAAAGAGCATAACCTTGGGTAATTGACCAATAACAAGGTTGGGCCAAGTATGTTGCTGCTGTCCAGCAAACAGAGTGGTTTGCCGCATGGCAACACGTTCAATGTGGTACTTGGCATTTGTTGAAACTAACTGCTTAGTTAAAGCCCCTAGAAAATCGGGCGATGGCTCGTATTTTCAAATTTTTAAACGAGGGTTTTTGATAATTACAGATTTTGGTTTTGATAAATCGCTGTCCGTCACAAAGACTAGACTGTTTTTATTGCGCACTAATTTTATGCTCAACTCGACACCTGGTATCAGTGGTTTGTCCTGTTGGAATAAATCACAATGCAGCTTTCCTGATAATTGCAGTGGGCGGCACGCTCGAAGCCACATTTGTTTTAACTCTGCTCCTTTGCTAAAAAAGATCTTTTCATTGTTAACTTTGGCTTCGTAATATGGATCTTGCTTCCACAGTAATGTATCCATGGCAAACCCAGACAATTGTAATTGTGAAGCCTGCGCTTGCTTAGTGTAGCCTAGAAGATTTTCAATGTACCCCCGCATATGGTACATGGAGCTGCTGTCAGAAATATTACGACCACCCAGAGTGACAATTACCTGTTCAAATAAACTATCGAGAATATTATTTACGGTTGTCAAGCAAGCATCATCCGAGGGCATATCCCCATTAGAGTCAGTTACATACAGATCACAAGAAAGTCGGACATCTGCCAAACTAATAAGTTCAGTTTGACACGGAGCAATGGTAAAAACATAATCTTTAGATGTGTCCGACGGGGCTTGTGTTGGCCCGATATCATAATCGCGGGTATTCCGCCTTTTGGTAAGGGTGGCCGGAAGATAAAATAAATGGCTCTCTAGGAGCATAGAAGGTTCGGAACCGCTTTCAATAAGAGCCATTATAGTTTGTCTTTAAGTGCGTCAATTGCAAGTTGTCGCTTTGTAAGGACTACTTTGCGTCGTTTTCGGCCCTTAATACCCGATCCTTGCTGTTGTTTCAGTTTGTCACTAACATGTTCTACAGCTTTGTCGATTGCCGATTCCACAGCTTTATGTGCCATATTTTTCATATGCGGTTGGGCTTTTGTTATTAAATTGCTTATATGGGGCGCGGCTTTGCTGAAAATACCCATTAGCAAAACCGATAACTTTCCCCCAAAAGCCAGCACCGGTCATGGGGGCACCGCGGTATACCGGCATCCCAAACCCATGTTGCCGGCTAAAGGCTTGTAAATAACGATTTTCATCAAACCTGTGCTCTTGAAGTACGATTTTTTCAGCGTTTCTTGGGTCGAAAATGTAACTTTATTATCGTAATACCGGGATGAAACGATACTTCTGTCCCTAAATCATCTGCGAGTTTTAATTCGATGGTCTGAAAGGTGTGTTTGGCAAGTGGCACATAATGCGGATTTTCGTAAATTAATGTAGTCTCGGTGTGAGAACTGGCGACGGTTGCGATTGTTCGTAGCAACGGTACCATTGCATCACCGACGAACCCGTGCTCAATAATGTCGCAATAAACATGCACAACACGACCCTGTTTGCCCGGTCGTAAGTGGTACGTTTGACCACCGGCACCGGCGTAAAAGTGCTCTTGCAATAGACCCAGCGTCCTCGTATACTCTGATCCCTGAAACGTGAGCTCGGCATCGGGATTTACCACCAGCTGTGCGGAGCTACCAGTCACATCAATATGTCCAAAGATGGTGTCTTTGTCACGCACTAGAAGGTTTATTTTCCGAATTAGTTGATTCTCGTCATTGTATGACTCTTTTTTTAAATACCGACTTTGTCTCGGCGTAGTCGTGGTTTTAACTAGCACTGCCAAACCCTCAGTAAACCTGAGACGCATCGGTGGTAAAATAATTTCGGAAAGACCGACTTCCCAGTTCCCATCAAGATCAATACCTTTGGCTAGCAAAGTTGTAAATTTCCCACAACGATTTGCGGGATAAATATTGTGAGATGCGGAAGAAGGTAGTGTCATATAGAAACTCATTTTAGATCTTCTTTGTTTTCCCAAGAGTCGTAAGCGGGACCGTAACCGTACCAACGTATAAGGTATTGCTGTTTTCCCTTGTACATTCTCTCCCTTAATATACGTGATATACGATGAAACGGTCGCTCGGTCATAATAAATTTTGACAGTTCGCTGTCATGAAAATCTCCATCAATTTTCTCACCTCTTAGGTCCTCTAAAGCGCAGATGTAATGATTCTGTCGTTTTTTAACTTGTACAATTTTAAAAATTTCTTCAGTGTAATTGGTTTTGTATCCCTTTTCGAACGTCTGCTTGCGTTTGCTATACGCACGTGATCCCCAACCTGAAAAATAGGATTTTTTGCCTGTGGCTCTTCTATCATATCTTGACGTATAAAGCGCGCTTCATCCACATCCACTTGACTGGGGGCAAACCCTGTACTAGAGTGAACAGAATTATTATATGATTTTAAAATCTCAGGTAAAATATCGAGGTACTTGTAAGTATTATTCTCTGTCATGTACACGTAAAGACGTTCCTTAATTGTTCGGTTAAATCGCTCTACCATGGCACATTTAACATCGTCGTTCTTTGTTGTAAAAAACCTGATATTGTGATCAGTAAAAAAGTTTTTCAGTTGTTTATTCACAAATTCTTTACCGTTATCGCTTTGACAGCGCAGTGGTCGATCAGCTTCTTTATAAATATTACACAGAGCACGAATAATTTCTTCGGGTTTCTTGGATTTGACGGGCTCGGCCCAGCCGTAGCGAGAAAAACAATCGACACAAGTCAGTAAATACTTAACGTCTTTATTGTCATTCGCAAATTTTTGCATATCTGCCAGGTCAATTTGGTGCTGGTCACCAATATTAAATGATAAAATCTTCCGACGTTTAAATTTCGACCGAAAAGGTTTATGTTGAGTGTAAGCGCTTATACTTTGCAAATACTCTTCCACTTGCTGACGAGAAAATCCATGATTTTGCGCTTCCCGGTACAAACGCTCGATGCCTCCCAGACTACCAGGATTAGAAGCATCTAAATAAATATCGGCCAGTGTTGCCATTATGCGTAGCTGAGCCATCCACCCTTCTGTGTCTTTTGCTTCTTTTTAGGAGGACCAGTAGATTTTGTGGTTTTACGCCTTAATAAGTCATAGCTCTTTTCAACGCCATTCTTGAGGGGGCGTGTTTCCGTTGGTTCTGTATACGTCAACGCATTGGGTGTCGGAGCCGCTGGTAAAGCCTTTGATGGGGCGGGTAAGGACTGTGAAGTCGAAGGGGCCGGTAACTCCAATTGCGGTACCCTGGATGCAATCGCTTTTCTATCGGGAACCTTATACGGAGCCGCTTTTTTGCTGCGTGTAATTGGACCAGAGCTTCGCGGTGCAACCACAACGTCAATCCGGTCTGTAGGTAGCGACACGGGAAGTGGTTCGTATTCGGGAGGTGCATACTCTAATGACCCATCATCAGGAAACTCAACGATGGGTCAGGATGGTAGCTTCTTTTTTGGTTTTTTCCCTTTGGATATTGGCTTGGGGCGTGAACCTTTATACACATGTTTTTCCAGTGTCTCTCTAGGTACGTACTGTGGTACGTATTGTACAACTGGTTCACGTTCGATATACTGCACAACGGGATCGCGCTCGATATGCTGCACAATAGGTTCGCGTTCAATATATTGTATTGTGGGCTCACTTTGGATATATACTGGCTCACTTGGCAGATACTGAATAACCGGAGGTTCGGTCGCTTGTGTTGATCCATCAGTAAGAAGAGGCAAAGCTTGAGTACCATAGTTCCTTTGCGAAGGTCCGTTTGGTTTGTGTTCGTTAACCTCAGATTTAATAACGCGTGGTTCATAGTCTGCAGACTTAGTCTGATACGCGGCACGAGCCAGCAAATCATGAGTCATGGCACTACGAATTTCTTCAGCCTTTTTCCATGATGTGGCTTTGCTCTTGCCGGGCGCAGAAAATTCGGATTCAGGTACAAGAACGTAGGTCTTCATTTTGTTATAAATGATGCAACTACTGTTCCTAGAATTGGAAGTAAAGCAGCTAAGAATCCTCCTTTTTGCGCTAAAATTGTTCGCTTTTTAACGTGTGAAAGTTTTCTGTCGGCTAAACGCTTAATTATCGGTGCAAAACGTCGTGCTCTGGCTAAATCAACTTTACTCAAAGCCGTTGGTTGCTTCACCAAATTTAAACAAGCTTCTTCAATTGCTAAAATTTGTTTTTTAGAAGCAACCTGTAAAAAATATCTACGCTGTCGTGGATTCATAATTTCCAAAGCGCGTAGTACGCTGAGAACGTCTTCTGGATTCATTTTTCCACATATATTTTCCGGTAGTCAAATATGTTTGACTGTAGCCTTAGCTTGTCTGGTGTATCAGGACGGAGATTTATTACCAAATAACCAAAAGGTTCCTTTATAGCCTTTTTGTATGCATCAGGTAAATGCGGCATTCCTAGCTGGCGAGAAAGTAGGTTAATTTGTTGTACATCGCGTACAGATTTAAATAAAATTAAATATTGTGAGTTAAGAGAGATATCTCTCATGCTTTTACCTTGTTTGTATAAATGTTGCGATATAAAGATCACAGAAACATTTTTATGATGTACATCTCTGGTAAATATTGTTGAGCATTTTGGATTTTTTGATATTTCTTCCTTGAGATCATCAAGAATCAGCAGCGTAGGCGCATTTCTATCGAAAAAATTCTCATCTTCCAAAATTTTATCCATTCCCGGCAGCAATTCGATGGACTTATCAAAATTACTGAATGCCTCTTGCCATGTACCGTACGCATATACTATACGTATGGGCGCGGGTGTGAAATTATTGGGAATACTCCGTAAAAGTTGAATCGTAAATGTCGATTTTCCGGACATAGTTGGACCAGAAATATAAAGCGAACAAGGAGTTTTAAATCTGAAATCAAAAGTCACCTTTTCCATTTTAAAAAAACTCCGTTTTCAAACCGCTATTTGTATGCTTTATCTATGAGAAATTTTTTTTCAAGTAACTCCTGATTTTGACTTTGAAAAATTCCGCTATTGATTCAGATTCTGGAGTTTTCAGTTGAAGAACCTAGGAGTTTTATTATGAATTCAAAAACTTCTCGAATTTGCTCCGAAGAAGTACAACCAAGGACTACACAGCTACCGGTATGGAAAATATGAATGGTGGCGTACGAAAGCCTTAATTTTAGTGCTGGAAACAGCTCTGGTTCTAATAGACGTTGCACGGAGAAGTTTTTAGCTTTCTCGTAAAGCCTTACCAAGTTAACGTTGTGTGTATGTTTGTACGTGCAAACGGTATTTGCGACACTGCTGTCCTTAATGTTTAACTCTATGCCTTGAGTATAAAGCATTATTTGATAACATTTTAGAAGTGAATACGACCCTGTAATACTTTTAGCACCGTTTATTATAGCCTTACCATTAGGGAATAATTGACAGAACGTTTTGTTTTGTAAACTTAAAGTGACAGCATTAAATCCTTTAACGGACTTTGTATTAAGCGGAAATGATTTCCAAACTTTCTCCAAACAAATCGCTTTGTCGAATTGGACGGAAAGAATGACGTTACGGATATCCATGGCTACGAGCATTAATTGCGACAGTGTCAACTTGGAACCTTCAGATACCTTTCAAGTTAAGACTGTCACAAATAATGGCTTCTTAGCCTTTTTTCTTTTCACAACAAACAGAACAGAGTAAATGCTAAGTAAGATGTGCTAATAAAAATTGAAGCATCCAGTCAGACAACAATATCCCGTCCCCAGTGCTGGATGTATATTTCCTCCATGAGATTGATGAATCCCTGCTACGGTAGTTGAATGGTGCGCCGAGCTTGAGAGAAACGAATCATGCGTCCGTATTTCGGGTGGATGCTGACAGTAACATCCACACAGCCCTGACCCGGCAGAGAAAACTTTTCAGCACCCTTGTCGATAATGGCCCGGTACATACAATCCTGCAGTGTCCCGTTCCTAATCATCCCCAACAAACAGTTGATATCGGCATACGCCAGGCGAACTCCTTTGTCCATGGCCTTCTTCAGCCCAGAACCGTCCGGTTTGGCATCGAACACTAGAAAGAAGCAAACATCCTTCGGGTTCCAAAACATACTAACTACAGCGTTGATTTTGTAGATAGTAAAATCCTCATGCACCCCCAAAACTTCCAAAGCCCGTACTGAAGCCATTTTGATGTCAACAGGAGAGCGGTCGACATCAAACTAAATGTTCTTTGAAATGTAGTTACGCTTGAAGACTTACGATGTTGAAATTCCACTGGCGAAAAAATTCGACTGGCGATGGAGCGCCAGTGACGTCATAGACGCTGTATTTGGACAGTGTATCGATGTACTTCGTTTCTAAGCGGTAAAGCAAAGCCTCGTCCTGTGCAGTTTTCCACACGTCACCATTCGTTTGGTCGTTGGCAAGCGAAACAATGGCCGAGGCGCATTCGTGACGGAATTCCAAGGGTTACGGATGACAATTAAAGTTCTGAATGGATGCCAGTGAACGCCGTAAATCATCCCACTTTAGATCCCTCAATAAAGTAATTCCTTTTTTGGGAATTCTCGCGCGACTATCAGAATTCGCGTCGGTACTTGTGAAACGGTCGATTTGAATGACAATGACCCCGTTAACAGTTATGCGTTTCGCCAATAAGCCATTACCGAAATCCTTCGTGAACGAGGATTTGTTGTGACAACGATCACCGTCAACAGAAACAGGTATGTTGTACGAATAATCACGTACAAAACTGAGAATCTGCAAAAATTCCGCGATCAAAAGTGACAAAGACTTCTTGTAACAACGAAAGCCGATGATTTGAATTTCTCCAGAATATAAAAACTTTAAATGGAACGATCCAGAAGAGTAGTATTCCCGTTGCGCTGGAGTAAAAGTAAATTCCGAAAGGTCGAAATACATTCTGAAAGCGCAGTGCCGAAACACTGACTGTCGACAGAAACTATCTTGTGGAGAATTCGTAATAACTGAAGAAAACGTGGTCATCGCCAGTTTGGATTACCCATTGTCAAATGAGAGAGAATGTGGGTCAGCACCAGTTTGGATTAGCTAAGAACAAAGAATCTAGGTCAGCGCCAGTTTGGATTACCCATTGTAAAATGAGGGAGGCCGAGACAGAATGCGGGTCAGCGCCAGTTTGATTTCTGAAAACGACGTGGTCTATCTTAGCTGGCTGGAATAGGAATTCGTTCGCAATTCTGAACGCCATGGATCAGTACAAAGGTTGTTTATTAGGCGCTTTGATTGGAGAATGCATCGGCACACCCCTGAGACGACCTACCTCCTGCCACATGAACTTGGCGGGAGTGCGGAGCAAGGTCTCGACTTACTGGGAGAAATTCCTAATAACGCACGCTTACGCCAAGTCTCTACTGGATACCGGCTTCTTTTCTTTGGAGAATGCCGCAAGGCGATGTAGCCAAACCTTTTACCACAACTACACTAAACGCCGAGCTTTTGGTGAACTGACCACCATTATTGCCAGTTGGAAACATTCTCCCCCAAAAGACTGGACCGCTGCGGCTACGACAGTCCGTAACCGAGGCACAGAGTGTGACGCTGCCACTTGGATAACGGCGTTTCCCTTGTACTTTTACAATCGTACGGAGCAGATGAGTTTCTCTGTAGACCGTGTAGCCCGGCTCACCCACTCTTCCAATGACGCCGCCGCTGGGGCACAGCTGCAGGCCTACGCCATCAGTCTGGTTCTAAAGAATAAAAAGATAAAGGAGCTTGAGTTTCTCTCCGCTCTTGTTGACTAAAGCAATAAATCTCTCCCCGATTCTGTACGTCAGAAATTTTATACACGTATGATGATGGTGCTGGACTACGCGCAACGCGCTGAACCAAAGGAAAAACTGTTCAAAGCCATTGGCGTCGGTACCAGCCCTTTGGACGTAGTTCCGGTTGCCATTTACTGTGCTGCTATTGGTCGCCGCAGCGGTTGCCCCTTTGAGGCCACCCTTCATGCGGCAATGTTAACCGGAGGATGCACTGATGCCATTGGGACCATGGCTT